GGCCCGAGTGGTTGGCCACGTCCACACGGTGTTTGAACCCCTCCAGGGATGGGGACCCCACCACTGCCCTGGGCAGCCTGGTCCAGTGCCTGGCCGGGGGTCCGGGGGAGAAGAGGGTGCGGGATTGCCCGTGCCTGCTGCGGAGTTCAGGATTCGCCGCGCGGGATCTGTCTCCTGCAAAGATCTGGGCAGCAGGGTCTGCAGAAGAGCAGAGAGACGGGGAGGAGACCTTGGTTCTTTGTTCCCTTATCAGGGAACAGGCCCTCCGCTGGCCTTTGCCCCGGCCCTGTCCCTTTGCAGGGGGCTGTAAGAGCCCTCCTTGCTTGTGGGTAAGCAGGATTTTCGGCTGCGGGCGCGGGAGAATCCATCTCCCACCCCAGAGCGCGTCCTTGGCTGTCCCAGAGTCTGATCCTGAACTGTTTTGGCTACGGCCAGAGATCGCTGGAGAGCTCAGGACGAGAGAACGGGCTGCCCTCACCAGCGCCGCGTTCTGTCGCGGCAGCGAGGAGAGGAAAATCAAGCCCTGGCGCTCTCTCGGCGTTCCCTTTCTGCCTGCTAGCCGGGGTGGTTGGTGGGGACGACGCGGCCCCGGCGTCGGGAGAGGGCTGCGCTTGCAGGGCTGACTTGCGACGCCTCGACCCTCTCTCCCCTCCCGCAGCACTCGTGTTTTAGTTTCCGCAAGCTCTGGGCTTTCACGGGGCCGGGCTTCCTGATGAGCATTGCCTACCTGGATCCGGGCAACATCGAGTCGGATTTGCAGTCCGGGGCTATCGCGGGATTTAAGGTCAGTGCCGAAAACCTGTGGGTTGAGAGCTGTAAATTGTGCAGCCCGCGTACCCGGCCCCGTTTGAGGGCAGGAGTGTGGAAAGCTGCTGAGCTGAAAACGCTCCGGAGAAGGGGAAAGGGCGAGTGAGGGGCTCACGTGTGCCCTCTCCAGCAGCGACTCCTGCCTTCCCATGCCTTTGGATGCTTCCCGTGCATTGGGATCCTTCCCGTGCCTTTGGATCCTTCCCGTGCATTTGGATCCTTTCCATGCATTTGGATCCTTCCTGTGCATTTGGATCCTTCCCATGCATTTGGATCCTTCCCATGCATTTGGATCCTTTCCATGCATTTGGATCCTTCCCATGCATTTGGATCCTTTCCATGCATTTGGATCCTTCCTGTGCATTTGGATCCTTTCCGTGCATTTGGATCCTTTCCGTGCCAGCTCCGGGCACATAAAACAGCCTCTGAACGTCAATAATGTGTATTTTAAAGGGCTGTGGTTCCTAAAGGCGCGCGCGGGGCGCAGGCGTCCTGGGGGACCTGGGACCCCGTTCGCAGCCGTTGTTTCTCGCTGCCCCAGCGCACCCCCAGAATC